CTACTAATCCTTCGTCGCTCGTCGGATGAACAGAGGTAGTTAGTTTGAATTTATTTATTTCTTTATTTACGAGCTGGCATCCCGGCTTTTACCACAATTTAGAGCCAGTCCATCGTGCTTTACCTTTTATGCAGCGGAACTTATCCTTCTTTTAATTCTGACTCGTCTTGGTTCGCTTCCTACCGTCCGTCCATGTCTTGATGACCAGCAGATCAAAATTAGCTTCACCACTTATCCTTCATGATTATGGAGTTTGTGCGCAAACATACAGATTTCCTCCTTTATATGAGGTCGGTTCAAAAATTCTTTCCGTTTTTTCATCCAGTATACATACATGTCCTGGGAGTATTTGCTTTGGTGGTTTCTGAGATAATTGCCGAAATTTCGAACCCATGGTTTTACCATGCCCAACTTTGGCAATTTTTCAAAATGTTCATTTTGAACTTTTGGAGAAGCTTCGGTAGCACTTAGATAGCGTAAACAAAGTGCAATGCAGTGAAATCTTTGACACCTAAATCTGGCTTCCTAAAATTTCAAAAAAATATTTCTAGTGCTATCAAATTCCACTTTTGGTCATCCCAAAGCTCACGGAACGTCAAACGGAGCACAACTAAGGCGTCATTCGATGCAGTTTTTTGTCCTCTTTTTGATAGGTTTTTTCTTCCCACTCGGTGGAACATTTGGCAAAAAAACTATCATAATTCCTCATACTGCACCTGTAGAATGCGATTTGTCATTTCTAAGCGGCAAACACTCTAATGTTTTGTAATGTTAGTGTGTTATCAAAATTGATCTTTGCAAACTTCAGATTCCGACGATTTGATAGTGCTAGAAGCCTTTGTGTATTTTGCCACTTCTCAAAAATGAAGACTTTTGAAAAAGTTATCCTAAAAATTCCAAGTTGAATGGAGATGCGAGAAAATTGCACTGCATTGCACTTTGTTCATGCTATCTAAATGCTATCAACGCTTCTCCAGAACTTCAAAATGAAGTTTTTGAAAAGGTGTCAAATCAGGGTATGGTAAAAACCGTGTGTTGGGAATTTCGACAATTATCTCAGAAACCACCAAAGCAAAAGGTCTCAAAACGTAAGCTGGAAAGAGGCTTATGCTGGATTTTGTGAAAATTGTAAATTTGGTTTTACTAAATTGATACCTAGTTTATTCATCAACTTTTGTATAAAAGATCTTTACCATATGAGACCAATGTTATTGCAGGTTTTGTCTAATGGGCATATTAAGAAGCTATTTCTTAGCTCTCTGAAGTATTTAAAATAGAAATCAAAACTATGTTTGCTTTTCAATCTTGATTTGTAAAGAACTGGTTTCAGTTTATAAAAAAAAATTTTTTTGGAAGGAATCCCTTAATGTTGATGAGTTTCTCATTACTTATTTTTATTCTCATTACGTATTTTTAATGTATTAGGTTGATGCATAATTCCTGCACTAAAATAGGTACAGACCGCAATAATCCGGAACAAAGCTATACTCAAATAGGATTCGATAAATCACTAGATAGAGCAAACCTGGCTCTACGAGACTGTTTTCAAATATCTGCACCAGCTTTGATCCACGTGAAGTTTCGAGCCGAAAACTGGAGAAATGGCGAATCCAGCTTTCCTTATCCGAATTTTTCTTGCCTAGTTGCAAAAAAATCGATATTTCTCGTAAACTAGGTGCTGTAAAGAGCTGAAAATTCACACTCGCGCTTCTAAAGTCCTATAGTATACAATTGTTAGTCCTAGAAAGTCTCAGCATTGTTTTGGAAAAAACATGAAAAACTTCGCTTTTTCAATTTGCAGCTGAGAGAAAAATACAGCAACTGCATAGAGAAATGTCTTATACGAAATGACAATGCATGAGCATGTTAGGAATCTTGAAGGACTTTTCTGAACGGACTTCCAATTTTTTCTTGGCATTTGGGGCGCTTGGTTCTTTTTCGTTTTTGGCTCCAATCTTCGCTGGATCAAGGCTTCTGCAAATCTTCAAGCACTACTTTGTAGAGCTAGGTTTGCTCTATCTAAAGATATATCGAATCCTATTTGGGGTATAGGATTTTTCCGATTATTGCAATCTGTACCTATTTTGGTGCAGGTATTTTTTGCTAATACAGTGCTGGCCATAGCTATAAAGCCATCCTAAAAATCACCGTAATTTGCTCTTTCTTGCTCATATTTGTCTGAAAAACCACTATTCTGTGCGCAAACTAACGTCATACCATTGACAAGAACGGCTTTTATTTTCATGGATTTTGGCCGGAGAAAAATTGAAAAATTTGAAAAAACGGGTTCCAAAGGCTGGTCACAGCTATAAAGCCACCTCTCATTTTCAATCAGTACTGCGTTTTTTGAACCTCAAATTTTTGTACGTATAGAACATCAAAACATAAAATATTTGTTACACTTGGAAGGGGCCGCCTTTCAAAAAGAAGATTCGTACTGCATTTTTGCTCTAAAATGCATAATAGGTCACACCATTTGCAAAAAACTGCTTTTTCACTGAATTTTGAAGCACTTGTTTGACTCGGATGAAGGCCCTATGCTTTGCCGAGCCTTTGCAATGAATACGGCGAAAAGCGCTTGAGTTAACATTGCGTAGTCGCTGATATTGATAAACGATAACCTCACCTCCAGGTAGACGAGTTTTCGAACCGCAGAAATTGAGGTCTAATGCCCGAAAAGCTCTGTTGCGTGCTCAGCACGTCGCTTGTATAACGAAGACTCGTGCGCATAGCCTGTACGCCATCGCAACTCTGAGGACTCTGGTTCCTCTTTGGCGCCTTTTTTCCAAAAATGAGTGGTGCACTTCGTCCAATCATGATCCACTCTAACCATCTCAATCGAGAGGAAAACCGCTCAAAAGTTCAAAATCCTTTTATTCCTGACAGCTTATTAAGATTTGAATTGATGAGGAGTTCAAAGCAGTGAAATTTGAAGTCTTGTGAGATACAATGCGCACAACCGAACTGCAGACAAAGCGTTCTAACTTCATTGCGGCAAATAGGTCTTTGCAAAAAAACCTGGCGGCTTCTGCATGAGTACGTCGCCATGCAGACAAGGTGTCAACTTCCAACCAAAAGTTTTCGCGTGTTAGAAATCGAGTTTTGCGCCTCAGAAACGCGCTTACACCTCGGTGAGATGAGGCTCGTTTACGAAGATTAGCGACTACGCAATGTTGAGTTCAGCACCTTGCACCTCGTTCATTGCAAAGGCTAAGCAAATCCTAGGACGTTTATCCGAGTCAAACAAGTTCTTCAAAATTTAGTGAAAAAGCAGTTTTTTTTGCAAATAATGTGAGTTATTATGCAATTTAGAGCAAAAAATGCAGTACGAATCTTGTTTTTGAAAGGCGACTCCTTCCAAGTGTAACAAATGTTTCATTTTTTGATGTTGTATATGTACAAAAAATTTGAGGTTAAAAAACGCAGTACTGATTGAAAATGAGAGGTGGCTTTATAGCTGTGACCAGCCTTCGGAACCCGTTTTTCAAATTTTTAAAGTTTTCTCCGGCCAAAATCCATAAAATTGGGAGCCGTTTTGGTCAATGGTATGACGTTAGTTTGCGCACAAAATAGTGGTTTTTCAGACAATTATGAGCAAGAGAGTGCAAATTACAGTGATTTTTAGGGTGGATTTATAGCTATGGCCAGCACTGTATGTATTCATAACTCTTTCTACAGTTGCAAGTACTTCTTTTTTATAGTTAAACTGCATACTCGAAATCGAATTATTTATTTTGAGCATTCGAATATTTGAGTATTTGAATAATTGAATGCTTGAGAAAGTGCAATCATACGATGATTTGAATGTCGAAATGATGCATTTAGAATATCTTTGCATTGACGACCGGCCACTGAACTTCGGAATTATGTAAAATCGATTGTAAAGAAATGGCTAGATCATAATGATGTTTCATTATTTTCTAGTCAGATTAACGACTTTTCTTTTCCTGCAAAGGAAGCAGCCAGGACGGAAGTATCGGATTGTAATCGACTTTAACATCATATAATATCTCCAGGGCAGGGTCATTGATGAAAACTTCCGTGGAATCTTCTGTTGTTGCAGACAATTTTGGAGCACTTTCAAAAATAGCAGAAACTTCCGTGGTGTCCTCAGTTATTTTAGGGGATGTCGTAAACAGAAAGGTTAACGTGACGAAAGTAATAAATAATACGACAGCACAAGTTTTTCCAGAGAGAATACGCATCTGATCGATTTTGGTCGAAATAATAAATACAGCATAGTCTTTGTACAAACATATACATCTGTATTGTGATTTTGATTGCCTGTATTTCGTTAGGCAGAGCAAAGTTAAATATGCATCAAAGGTGTGTCATATAAGAACATGAGAAACCATCTCTTTGAAAGAAAGTGTTATCATTTAAAATCATATTAGTCAGTTTTGCAAGAAACATCAAAGTCGTGCCACGTGTCCTGAAAACTTCTATCATTATTTACCCCATCAACTGCATAGCTATTCATATTGGACCTCTATCACCCAAGTATGGCAATGGGGCTGCGCAAGGTTTCTTTTTGAGGTTAAGTAGATGTGAGTAGACAATATTAACTTTAGTGTAAGTATTTAGCGGATCTGTCCAACAAGCGAAAAAGTGCAATCGTAGTGGTTTAGTGTGATCTGTATCACTAGAAATAGTTCCCCCTCACTAGCCAAATAATGAAAAATTGGGTTTAACACTTTTCCGCTTAAGTCAATAATGTCATATTAGATTCGCTTGTAAATTACTGATGCTATTCAGGCTCTAGCTACTGGCATACTAACAGTTCTACCAAATTTCGCTTAACCATCGTCTTAACCAGCTTCAACGTACCAGTCATCCTGGAATGACGACTGATAAAACTTTGGATGTCATGATAATCTTATACTTGCAAATATAGATTTTCTAGTAGAACATAATGAAAAATCATGACTCTGTTAAAATGACTTTGAAAACGTAATTACGCTTTATTCAACGAAACATTTTTAGAACTTCATCGGAGAACTATGGAGAAAAGTGGATGTAGCGAAAGTGGAGCTGCATCGAAGTATAAGAGAGAAGAGGGAGCTGGCATGTAAGTTTGATAAATATTATACGTTCCAACTCATTATTTCTATTCTTCTTAATCCTTACAATCATCTCTCTTAAGAAAATTTTTGTAAAAGAGATCCATCTTTTCAGCGTGCTGCGTGCCTTCCTGGACCCAAAGGACATTCAAGACATTCAGAGATGGCATGGACGGGATGCCAGGTACGTGCAGTAGAACATTTCGCTTTGTAGACTTTCAAAGGCATTGAATCTTTGAAGGTCAACCAGGACGAGCTGGTCGTCCTCCTGATCTGGATACTAGGCCATTATGCGTCCGAGAATGCCCTGTCCTGAGAAAATCCTGTCGGTGAACCGGGGTAAGCTAACTTCAGAAATCCATTTAGACTATTGATGATGTTAAAGCAGCCACATTGCAGGAGACGTGGCCCACAAAGAGAAAAAGGTGAGCGCGGCAGACGCAGCAGCAAAGGACTACCAGAAAAACCTGCTTCATCTCCTGCAGGAGAATGTGGAGAAATGGGCGAGCAAAGATTCAGAGGTATTACTGGACCCAGGAGAGCCTGGTGAAATGGAAAAGGTGTTCACAGCGACTGAGCCACCCGGGAAGATTGGTGAAAAAATTTTTTAAATTATATTTCTGATGCTATCAAATTCCATTTTAGTCATAACAAAACTCACAGAACATCAAACTGAGCACATACAAGATGTCATTCGATGCGTCTTCCTCTTCTCTTTCTGATAGATGTTTTTTCCAATTCGTGGAATATTTGGCGATAAAATAATCATAACATTCAATTTTGAACCCACCTCATACTGCTTCCCTAGAATGCGAGATCTGACATTTCCAAGCAAACGCTCTGATGCTTTGTAAAGCTAGTGTACTATCATAATCGATATTTGAAAGTTTTAAATTCCAGCGATTTGCTAGTGTTTGGAGCGTTGGTGTATTTTGCGATTTCGCAAAAATGAAGACTTTTGAAAACTTATCCTAAAAGATGCTAAGAACTAAATGGAAATGCGAGAAAATTGGATTGCACTACATTTTGTTTACGCTAATTAACTGCTATTAATGCTTCTCCAAAAGTTCAAAACGAAGATTTTGAAAATTTGTTGAAGTTAGGCATGGTAAAAACCATGGATTTAAAATTTCGGCAATTATCGCAGAAACCATCAAAGCAAATCCCAAGATGTGAACATTGGAAAGAGGAAGAAAAACTGCGTCGGTTAGTGCTTAAAGCATTTGCCTACCTCAATTCCACTTGTTTCTATGACAGGACTAGTTGACTTACCCAGCTCTGCCCGGCCCTTTCATTATTATATTCGTAATCAGCATGCTCGATTACCCTCCTGTGCCAACTCCCAGCCCCGTAGCTCAATACAAACAGACATTCAGCTTTATATATAAGATGATTGAACGGAAAGAGCTTGCGAACCGTCCTAATATATATAAAGGGATTTATTTATTTATTTAGGTGAGCAGCACCTGTTAAGGGGTTGTTAAAGCAGCAACACCTGTCAAGGTATTGCTTGTTTAGAGGGTCGGGCTCTTTTCTGTACTTGATAAGGTGTTTGATCGAATACTTCACTTATGTGTTTTCCACTTTTCAGACTCTGAAGAAGGCTAGTTTGCAAGTACGTTAGTTTGTATATTGTGGAATAAATATCTGTGCCAATCTTGGACGCTGCTAAAGAAATCAATCAGAAGATTCAATTACTTTCTATATACAAAAAGTGCGCCTATATACAGGGTGTCCGTAAAGTATGTATACACTGTTCAATCGTTAATATCTCTTTTCCCAAGAGGGCTTTTGCATTGCTTCAGGTATCATTTTGTAGAGCTGGCTTCAACTTAGATTTACAGTATGGAGCGAATCACCGATCGCTCTTCATTACTGCAGGATTACGGTGGAAACTTCAAAGAGAGCTTTGAGCCATGAAAGGCCAATTTCGCATCAGAACGGAAACAAAACAGCCTGAAACCTTTAACACAATGTTAATTAGAGTTGCTGATTCTAATGTGAAGTTCCGAACTTATTATGATGCTTCATTCAAGAGTTATGCCAGGTAAGAGGTAGTAGCATTTCTTCACTGTTTCTGAAAAATGCGGTTATACCGTTTAGAAAGCTTCGCAATCTTGTGAATAGTTGAGTGTTGAACTCAGCGTCCATAAAAACTTTATTACGCAAGTTCTCACATTTTTTTTTGAAAAATTTTGAAACGGCGGCTTTTTTCACGTTGACACCATATGTTTCAAGTTTCTACCGTAATCCTACAGTAACGAAGAGCGATCGGTGATTCGCTCTATACTGCAAATCTAAGTTGAAGCCAGCTCTACAAAATGGTACCTGAAGCAAGGCAAAAGACTTTTTGTGAAAAGAGATATTAACGATCAAACAGTGTATACATACTTTACGGACACCCTGTAGAATAGGAAAAAAGCTAAATGATAGTCAGTAAGAGAAAGAAGAAAAAACACTAATTCTAGACAGATACTTGAAATCATTACTGGAAATTCTCAAGCAACAATCATCAAGGTACATAGGAGAGCCAAAATGTCACTGCCCAAAAAGATCGGTCTACGGACTATCACGAAGACGGAAAATGAGGGAAATCTTTGGTTAATTATGAGGTGCAAGACCGAACTTGAGGCAGTACCAAGATCAGCAACTAAAGGTGTTGTCACAGTCTTGGAGCCCTAGGCGCGAGCCATCAATTTGTACTGAACGAGGCTTTCACTGTAGTGTCTATCCCTACACTATCGTGAAGAAAGTTTGTATAAAGAGAAGGGAAAGGTGATTATTGTGCGCTGTTAGTCGAAAAGTATTGTATAAAAGCACTCCTTTCATTTTCTCAAACAACTGTTTCTAGGTATTCAGTGTCTCTCTAATGCATATATTGAATGTTTCCAATGAGTATCAAGATTGCAAGGACAGGCTGCATTTGTTGCAGAACCTAAGCGTACAAGTCAAAAATCAGGTCTATCAGCATTTCGCCGACACCTTATAAGATAGGAGAAATCTTGCTTAGTTGATTTCAACTTGGTGCAGCAAAGTAGATTTTTCGTACAAGACGCGTTCATTGTTAGTCCCATACCCATTATGTTTACAAGGTTGCCGAGATTGGGTCATCGGAGCAACGAAAAATCAGATAAAACTCTATATGTTCTGATATGACGAAAGCATGTATCTGGTTGATTATTCAGAAATTCGAAGGTAACAGTACCCAACTTTATAGCTAAGTTTGATTAATTTTTTCTAAAACCGGATTTCTTCCTCGGTATGCGAAGGTTATCCTTGTGTTTCCCAGGTTGGGGTATCCCATCGGTACAATGTCTCCATTTACTGACACTTATCTCCTATGAACTTCCCAAGCTGCTGTAAACTCATACTCAAATCTGTTGCAGCATATGCCGATGATCTAAAAAAAACCTGTGCTGTTTATGGGTAATTGAACGCGAAATTTCGAAAAACGAAGGCTGCCGGAGCATCAAATGTTAAAATGGTGTGAGTTTGGAAAGTGAGAGTTGACTTTTCAGGAAGCCTAACAAGGCTGAGAAAAAGCTATAACAATAAACTTTTTTCCGAATCTTCGGCATGAAGTTTGCAACTAAGAGTGGTGTTAGAGCCCATTTTAAGTACTTCAACCAAAACTGACACCTAGGCCCGTAGTAATCCCCCCGTCGTGAGGGTCGCGACGTTCGAAACATCGCACGTACCCAGCACGTGTCGTTTCTGCCGCGTTTCGTCGCGTGTCTATCTCTTATCACAGCCGCGCGGCGAAATCGCGGGACGTCGTGACTGCAGGACGTGCTTGTCCTCGCGCGCAGAGGACGAGCACGCCGTGAACGTCGTCACTTAAGGGGCAGAGAAATAAAAATAGTGAGCCCAGCGTGGAGACGCAGGAAGGCGCAACTGACTAGGGGTCGAGTACGCCGAGCTCGCGACCTTGTGCATGGACCGTAGATGCACAGCAGTAGGTTCAACGCACGCCAAATGCAATCGATATCAACAGCTGATAGGCGCCCAAATGTCGACCCGCTCAGCAACTTTCCGTATTCTGAGAATTTCCGCTGTACTATGCTTCATAATTTGAAAAGGTAAGTTTATTTCGTTCACAAAATATAAATTAGAAGTCCCTTTCCTTGTGATTTAGCCATTTTTTCTTGTTATTCTCGCATTGCATTCCATCTGGTCATAGAATTTCTCTCCATGTCATAATTTTCTTATATCTGCCATTAGCCTCTTGTATGGCGTATGTTTTCAATTTGCTGTTCATTAGCTGTGTACCTAGCGTTTCTCTTTCTATCTGAGCGAGAGAACCGTCTGGCGTCATGGTTAATGGAATAGCTTATGTTTGGAATGACTGAAGTGGTGATTATTTACAGTATTTCAAATTTTCTAGTATATTGGCGATAATTTATGTGTTACATGCTTTCTTTTCCTATACTACGAAAGATCCTAGTAATTTTTATTTATTAACCTGGAAAATTTTCTAACAAAGCAGTTTGCAAAATGTTTCCTCACGCGAGACGCGTACCCCTTCCACTCGCATCTCATAGGACAACGGCGTCCGACACTGGCGCTACGCTATTTGCATTCCTTGCGTAGTTTCCATTAGTGAGCCCCTTTATTCTGAACATGGCGGAGCAGTGCATACCTTTATACTTTATAAATGGAGGTTGGTACAAATCAAGCTTGCTTATGAAGTTGTTTGAACGATGTTGCAGGCAACCGCCCTGTTTGCCGCATTTGTTACGTTCGATTCTTACACGTAAAGCATGAAGTCTATGGCGCAGTGACAGTGCGCGCCGTCAACGACAACCGAGGAGTTCGATCGCGCGTGCGACCGTATGTTTTGCGGCGACCAAAACGTGGTCGTGAGGAGCACGTCCTTAGTCGGACACGTCGTGTTCTCGGTTTCTTTATATCACGACATATTTCGGGGGTTTACTACGGGCCCTAGTTGTTGAACCTTCATGCTGTGCCATGTGCTCCATGCTTATAAATGTTTGTTCTATGCAAAAAGCAATTTGGATGAGAGGGAGGTACAAAGCCTACCTTCTCTCAATTCTGGAATACTGTGGTTTAGTCTGGAATATTAGTCCAAAAAAGATATTTCTAAACTAGATAGATTTTAGCGTGCATTCACTAGCATCTTGTTTTACTGCTTGTTTTGAACAAGGAGTATCTTGGAGTTTTTCCGTAGTAGCATGGATTGGCTAATCTTATAGTTTGTACAACAGACGTATTTTGGCTCTCTTCGGCTCAAAATATTAGGTTGTCCCGAAATTGTCCGTTTTTTCAGCGCTCACTAAAACCCACAGAACATCAATCCATGGACGATTTAAGTACCATTTGATTCAGATTTTTATCCTTTTTCTTAGAGCTGTATTTGCAGGGGGATTTGGCAACTACCAAAAAAAGCATACAAGATCTTGGTACGCTAAAGTACGGGGCTCGGCACAGGTGGCTTGCGAAGCAACCGGGTATCGTTTTGGGGGGGAAAAAGCAAAGGAGATATCGTTTTTGCGGAAGAGCATAACGCTGTCTTTCGATCTGCTGCCGGCA